TTTCCCACCCAAAGTGAACTTGCCATAAGCATTTTGTTGTTTCTGAATAGCATATGTCTAGGTGACCATACTTTGGAAAGTGTGTCCACAGTGCAGCAGTGCAACTGATCTGGGATTGTGTTTTGGGCAGGTGAACAATAGTTTTGATTCATACTGAGTTATAAGAAAGTGGAAGTTGTAGCAAACTACAGGACGATTTAGAAAACAGTCTGGTGTTTCTCAAATCAAAACCAAAAGCCATCAGAAATACGTTTTCAGATGGCATAATTACAAAAAAATGAGGAAGTGAAATAGGTTACAAGTCCTTGAGAGTAGACAGTGCAGAGGCACATGGCACTGTTTTCCAGGTTGAAGAAGAGGCCTTTTACAAAGCATCAACTCTAATTCAGGTTATATAATCCTGACTATTGTAGCATATTACTTGCATACTGTTTGTCATATGAGAATACTTTGCCTCTTCATGTTTTATTTTTCCTTTTTGGTACATTTTGAACTCCAGAATTCTTTATTTACTATTTGGCTTTCCATAAACAATCAGGCGGGATGACTATGAGATTTTCTACATTGAGAAACTGTGTACATAATATTTGCTTATAATAAGACTCATCATGATAAATCCTTTCTCTTCACATAGTATCTGATAATCCAGTGCCTTTTTAAACAATAAGAAAGATATTTTCCAAAGACTTTTTTTCAGAAATCAGATGTTTCTTGGAGCCCTTTCCAGTCTGTATACAATATATCTTTACCATTTTTTCAATTGAAGACTAAACAAAACTTTCCATAAGTTTTGTGTTTGAAGTTTTGCTGTGTAACTACTCTTTGGGGTAGACATTTGCATTTATCCAACACTCATCCTTGTTTAAAACTTGCATGGCTGAGATGTCCTTAGGCTTATAGTAGTAAGTTGGCCTCCTTCGGCGGAATCTCTCTGGCCTTTGAAGTTGGCACAGTCTAATATAGCTACCTCAAGGGATGTGTGGCCATGGAAAAACATGTTTTTGTTGTTGAGTGTTCTTGCTTTCTAGTAATTTTATTTTCTGCTCAAGAGATTTAGTATCTGTTCAGATACTTTATTTTTAAAGGCCACATAAGTAGTGACTTGACCTCTAATCTTAGCTTTGAAATTTTCCCAGACACTAATAAAGATGATGTCTGATGACCTATTATTTGAGAATAGTACTCATTGGTTAGCTAGCAGTGCTATTTAAAAATGTATTTTTTATGCAAAAATTATTTCCAAGGCTAAAAGACTTTCTCAGTAAAATCATACATATAATGACAGAATTTGGTGACTCTTGCACCTTGTTTTAAAATAGATTTTACACAGTATTACTGAGACTTAATACTGTTCAGAACAGCTCTTTTCCTCAAATACAAATGTGAATTAGTTCTGAGAAAAATATTCTGTAAACCATAATCTTATCAGAAATAGCACCCGTCTCTTGGATCCAGTAAGAACATTTTAGACAGGAAGGGTTCTGTAGTAAAAGACCTAGGATTAATCCTTGTTTTGCATGAATGTGGGCTGTCTTTCCCATAAATATACAGTAAGGTTTTTACAAAGGATCAAGTTACTACTGAAGACCAAGGTTATCAGTTAAATTATCTGGGCTGGCCACATCAGGATGTAAGCTTAATAATTCGTGGAGTAAATAAGTTTATCAGATTGTATTAATATGTGTAGTAACGCTTAGTTATGAAGAAGAGGGGAAAAGGCAGTTACTTTCCAGGTGTTGGGGCATAGTTAATTACCTTTTTTGGTCTGTTTTTACTTGTCTTATATCTATAATAACAGACTCTTCTTGATAAGAACCCACCTAGGCACAATGATGTTTTTGTGGGGTTAGCAGAGGAAACTCCGTATTGCTACCTTGATAAGTTTTCTCGTTTGGCTTTTTGTTAAGAGATGATGTTTAGTTTTTTGTTGCTGAACTCTGTTAGTGCAAAGAGAAGAAAAATCTTGCTTAACTTAATTAATTTCAATGTTCAATTGAAATCTATTTTAGCCTCCTTAGCCCTAAAAGAGATTTGCATAATTGGGGTTTTCCCTTGGTTCCAGTGGAAGGGAAATATTTCAGTTCACTTACTTGAGGCTATAAAAGTTTGTTCTTCCTTTCCCTGCAGCAAGAATTGTGGACATAAAGTAATAAAACAGATTCAGTGCTAATTTTTAAAACTTCCCCTTATTTCCAGCCTCATCAGTGGTAAATAATGTGCCTGACTATAAAATGGAAAAAGTTGAAAATTTCCACTTGTACATTTTGAGCTTTTCAGAGGTACTATACACTCTGGAAATAATAATAAAAGATACCAGGGCTTATACAGTGCTTTTTGTTTGAGGAACTCATATAAACACTAATGCATTGATCCTAACACAGTACTTGATTGTGACTTTAAAAGGTCATGAGTTACTGCTGTTACAAAAAAAAAAAAAAAAGATGGAGGGGCGCTCTACTTTACAAATATTGTTTAAAAAATATGTAGATAAAAATTGAAACAGATAACTGAAAAAACAAAACATATAGGGTATTTTTTTGTTGTTTGTATGTTGACTTTTCTTTTAGCCTATGAAATATTTTTATTCCTTTATTATTTTTTACTGTTGCATATGAATCTACTTGAAGACTGATTTTCTTTTCCTTTCTTTTTTTTTTTCCAAGATGGGATCTTGCTTTGTTACCCAAGCTGGAGTGCTGTAGCACAATGATGGCTCACTGCAGCCTTGATATCCCAGTCTCGATTGATTCTCCCACCTCAGCCTCCTGAGTAGCTGGGACTACAGGCGTGTGCCACTGTGCCCTGCTAATTATTTTAAATTTATTTTTTGTAAGGACTGGGTCTCATCATGTTGCCTAGGTTGCCTTTAAATTCCCAGGCTCAAGCATTCCTCCTGCCTCGGCCTCTCAGAGTGCTGGGATTACAGGCGTGAGCCACTGTGCCCAGCACCCTCTCCCTCCTTTTTTTTTTTTGAGACACTGTCTCGCTCTGTCATACAGGCTAGAGTGCAGTGGTGCAGGCTCGGCTCACAGCAACCCCCCAACTCCTTGGTTCAAGCGAATTCTCCTGCCTCAGCCTCCTTAGTAGCTGGGACTACAGGCACATACCACCACACCCAGCTAATTTTTGTATTTTTAGTAGAGACGGGGTTTCACCGTGTTGGCCAAGATGGTCTCGATCTCCTGACCTCGTGATCTGCCCACCTCAGCCTCCCAGAGTTCTGGGATTATAGGCATGAGCCACACTGCGGCTGGTCCCGCCCTCCTGCCTCTTTTTTTTTTTTTTTTTTTTTTTTTTTTTTTTTTTAAAAGAGACAGGGTCTTATTATGTTGCCCAGACTAGACTCAGACACCTGGCTCAAGCACTCCTCCCACCTCAGCCTCCTCAGTGTCTGGGACTGTACCCAGACCACTGTGCCCTTCCTGATTCCTATATTAAATAAGAAAGCAGAATCTACTATTCAGCTTTTATTCCTACTCAAGCCAGGAAGGTTTAAACTTGTGGTGGTTTCCTGAGCTTGCCATATTATGTTAATATGCATTTGTCTTTTTAGTTTTCTCAGTTTAATATTTGTGTTATGTAGCTATTGATTTTGATGAATACAGTAGTCATGTGGTATAATTTTCAACCTTCTTGTGTTTTCCATAGGTTTATTCTTCAGTCCAAGGAAGCAATTCACAATCAACTGTTAGAGAAGCAAAAAATAGCAGAAGAAAAAATTAAAGAACTAGAAGTAAGTTTTGAGTGAATATTGGCAATAGGAGTTAACTTTCGGGAGAAAGTGGTAATCTTTTTTTTTTTTTTTGTTTTTTTGAGACGGAGTTTCGCTCTTGTTACCCAGGCTGGAGTGCAATGGTGCGATCTCGGCTCACCGCAACCTCCGCCTCCTGGGTTCAGGCAATTCTCCTGCCTCAGCCTCCTGAGTAGCTGGGGTTACAGGCACGTGCCACCATGCCCAGCTAATTTTTTGTAGTTTTAGTAGAGACGGGGTTTCACCATGTTGACCAGGATGGTCTCGATCTCTTGACCTTGTGATCCACCCGCCTCAGCCTCCCAAAGTGCTGGGATTACAGGCTTGAGCCACCACGCCCGGCCCGAAAGTGGTAATCTTATTGTTTCATATTAAATGAAAATGTATACCTGCCTGCCAAGGTAATGTCATATTATTTTTATTTTTTTTAATCACTTTGGAGCCATGAAGCTGTCATATTCATATTCATATTCATATTCATAGCAGTGCATAAGACCAAAAAAAGGGAATAGTCTCTTCTTTGGAACTGTAGAGGGTTTTGATGAGATGGTTTAACATGAATATATTTTGTTCATTGACCTTGAATGTGTTTATTCTTTAAAACAAAAAAATACCATAAATGAAATGTGGTGTATATGTAAACAACACATGTGTAGTGGATTGTGGTGGATGGGCTGGAGAGTGGGTAATAATGATACATTTTAGAGGAGGTATAGGGTCTGTTTTACACATTGTGATTCCTTTAACCTAAATTAGGTTCTATGTAAGGACAAAGTAGCAAGCTGTAACCAATTAACTATCTGAAGGATCATGCTCCAATGAGAGAACATTTTTTTCTTTTTAGCTAGGGAAAAAGATAAGAGGTAACAGTAAGTAAATCTTTGGAAATATTACTTACTTTATTTTTATTATTACAGTTTCTTTATACATTAAGACCTTTAGTGAGACATTTTTCTTGGGCTTTGGTGAAGGCCCATTCTATGTGTAGTAAAAGTTAGACTGGACAAAAAGCTGGTTATTCTTTCTTAGGGATCAAGATTTCCCAGCATGTAGGGGGATGCATTGACTTCAAAGGTCGTTTCATCCAATTTCTGTGAGTACTATTTGAGGCAGAGGATCAGAATCTAACTCAGCCTTCTGCTGAATTTGGGAGATACGGCTTGTAGCCTCCTGGGGATTTCTTAAGGGGCACTGAATTGGCTTGGCCTGGGAGTAATAGTGTATTAGGTTACTTAGGCTTATTTTTGACTACTGATAGTTTAAACAAACTTGATAATAGATTTACAGCTTAGAAAAGTTGTATTGTAAAAACAAGACAAAAAAGCAAACAAAAAAACCAAGTAAAGGAAAAAGAGCCTGTGATAACCAGGTTTTTGTTGTGTCCTGTTTTAACATTTTAATCAGCTCAACTGTTGTAAGAGGTTCAATTTGATATCTTGTGTTTTCACTCATAAGAAACAAAAGTATTTTTAAAAACCCAAACAAATCATAGTTAAAACAAAAAATGCATTTTTGCAACTGTAGGTAAATATATTTAAAATTGTTCTGATGAATAATAAGTAGCAAGAATGTCTATATATAAAATCATTCATATATGCATATACACAACCTTTCTTAAAAGAGGAATTATGCTATATATGCTGTTCTCCATCATTTGACAGTTTATCTTTCTAAGTAATATAAATCCAGTTAATACACAATTTCTTTTTTTTTCCATTCCCATCATCATAGACTCCTTAACATGAGCCTTATCTCAGCATTTATTATATTCTCCAGTACTTCTCTAACCTGTGATTTTAACAGTATCCTCCACTGTATACTGAGTCAATCCTGTACTTTTCCCCGAGACATTCTCTTCCCTGAGACAATCCTATACTTTTCTACTGCTACACCTAGTTTTGTTACTAAAGCATACCCCTACATGTGCACTCATGCACATATACGTTAATTGTGGTGTTCAACTTTTCTGTGTATCTTACTGATTTCCCATCTGCTTATTCATGTAGTTACTGAGAGAGATGTGATAAATCTTCCTCTATGATGGTGTTTATCAATTTCTCTTTAACCTGTCAGTTTAGTGGCGGTGATACTTAGAGACTGCTGTTGGGATGGGGGAGGTAAGTGCTCATTATTACTGTATACAAAGTTTGGAACATATGTTTTATTGTTTTATATTAGGAATTTTTCAGCTTGTTTTTATTTGTTTATTATTATTGTTTTGAGATGGCATCTCGCTCTGTTGTCCAGGCTGGAATGCAGTGGCACCATCTTGTCTCACTGCAACCTCCACCTCCTGGGTTCAAGCGATTCTCCTGTGTCAGCTTCCCGAGTAGCAGGGATTATAGCCACCATGCCTGGCTAATTTTTGTATTTTTAGTAGAGACAGGGTTTCGCCATGTTGACCAGGCTGTCTCAAACTCCGGACCTTCAGTGATCTGCCCACCTCAGCCTCCCAAAGTGCTGGGATTACAGGCGTGAGCCATGGCGTCTGACCTCCCAGCTTTCTTAAAGATAACCATTCCCCGACTTCTGGCTTTCATTGTTGCTGTTAAGAAGTCATCTGGGCTGGGCGCGGTGCCTGTAATCCTAGCACTTTGGGAGGCTGAGGAGAGCTGATCATGAGGTTGGAGTTCAAGACCAGACTGGCCAACATGGTGAAACCTTGTCTCTACTAAAAATACAAAAATTAGCCAGGTGTGGTGGCATGTGCCTGTAATCCCAGCTACTCGGGAGGCTGAGGCAGGAGAATCACTTGAACCCGGGAGGCAGAGGTTGCAGTGAGCTGAGATCGTGCCACTGCACTCCAGCCTGGGTGACAGAGCAAGACTCTGCCTCAAAAAAAAAAAGTCATCTATTAGTCTAATTGTGTTTAATTTGTCTTTTCTCTCTACCTGCTTTTATGTGTCTATGTCTTTCATGCTTTGTAGTTCCTCTGGGATGTGAGGTGTCGATTTATTCCTTTTCCTTTTTTTTTTTTTTAATTTGAGATGGGGTCTCACTCTGTTACCCCGGTTGCAGTGTAGTTGTGTGATCTCAGTTCACTGCAGCCTCCACCTCCCAGGCTTAAACAGTCCTCCTGCCTCAACCTCCAAGTAGCTGAGACTACAGGCATGCCACCATGTGTAGCTAATATTTTTTTCTTTATTTTATTTAGAATTTGTTGGGTTTCCTGAATCTGAGGATTAGTATTTTTTAAAATCAATTCTGGAAAATATGTATTTCTGAAGATTTCTTCTTCCTTATTTTGTTTATTGATGATATATCCTTCTGGAATTTTTTGCCACCTTTAAACTGGCTGCCACCACCATCTGCAGTAGCATATTATCTGATTTTCCCATCTCCATCCTTCTCTCATTTAGTTCTTTTTTTTTTTTTTTTTCATTTTAGGTTTTGGGGTACATGTGAAGAACATGCAAGATTGTTTTAACACATTTAAGTTAGAATGACTTTTTTAAAATGTTAAATCTGGTTATATTACTCTCATGTAAAACCAATCGTTGTTCTTAGGGTAAAGCTCAAACTTTTTTTTTTTTTTGAGGTGGAATTTTGCCCTTGCCACCTAGGCTGGAGTACAATGGGATGATCTTGGCTCAGTGCAACCTCCGCCTCCTGGGTTCAAGCAATTCTCCTGCCTCAGCCTCCTAAGTAGCTGGGACTATAGGCCTGTGCCATTACACCAGGCTAATTTTTTTCTATTTTTAGTAGAGATGGGGTTTCATGATTTTGACCAGTCTGGTCTCGAACTCCTGACCTCAGGTGATTGGCCTCCCAGTGCTAGGATCACTGGTGTGAGCCACAGCGTCTGACCAGTTCAAACTTTTTTTTTTTTCTTTTGAATTATTTTTGTAACAAACCCTTGTGTCGAGGGCTGACTTTCAATAGATCGCAGCGAGGGAGCTGCTCTGCTACGTATGAAACCCCACAGTTCAAACTTTTTAACATACCTTCAAGGCTTTTAAAGATATGATTTCTGAAGGCCGGGCGCAGTGGCTCAAGCCTGTAATCCCAGCACTTTGGGAGGCCGAGGCGGGTGGATCACGAGGTCAAGAGATCGAGACCATCCTGGTCAACACGGTGAAACCCCGTCTCTACTAAAAAATACAAAAAATTAGCTGGGCATGGTGGCGCGTGCCTGTAATCCCAGCTACTCAGGAGGCTGAGGCAGGAGAATTGCCTGAACCCAGGAGGCGGAGGTTGCGGTGAGCTGAGATCGCGCCATTGCACTCTAGCCTGGGTAACAAGAGCGAAACTCTGTCCCAAAAAAAAGAAAAAAGAAAAAAAAAAAAAAGATATGATTTCTGTTTATTTCTCTCATCCCTCCCATTTCCTTTGCCTTCTCTTATACTGTATACTTTAGCCATGCAGAAATACTCTCAGTCTTTGGAGCTTGCTCTGTTTTCATTCTACTAGATCTTTGGAAAGTAGTTATCTCCACTTGGGAACTTCCTTCTCTTGCCTTTATCAGCTCCATCTACTAATCCTTCAGATCTTAATATAGAGTTCTCCTGAGAAACATTTTCTGATTCTTTAGTCTTAAGTTAAGTGCTTTTTTCTTGTGTTCTCTGATTACTCTGTTAGCTTCTTAGAATATTGTGGGGATTTGGAAATATAAACACTCACCAGTTGAATAAATCGTAAATATGCTTTCCTATTACTTCAGAAACTTAATACAGATTCAGAGAGCTCTAAATGATTTTCCCCAAGGCCTCCTTTTTGTTGCTCCTCTTTTCAAATCTGCGATTTCTTCTTCTGGACCTAGTGTTTCTTGCCAGTCTAATCTACTTCATTTTAATCCTCTATAATTATCATCATCATCATCATCATATCATTATCATCAGTTTCTCTCCTGAGATACCCTGTATTAAGTTGGGGAAACACAATTTATACCCAACTCTGTAGACAAAGGCCGGGCTACTTCTGTTTATCATGTTTTCATCTCTGAAAGAGGAAGGTTGATTTTGGTTGGGGTCAGAGTTCTAGTTTTTGATCAAAGCTGTTAATTTGTTTTACTGATTTGACCCACTGAGTATGCTTCCCCACCCTCTATCCACATTTTGTGTAGAAGATAGGAGGGACAAACCTTTTCCATGACATATATGCTGGTCTGATTCAGCTTCTCTAATCTGATAGCCCCTTTTCATTAGTATTTGCTAGGCTGTCTTTTACCCAGCTCTGTTATTTCTGTTTCTTTATAAGTGCCCTCTTGTGATTTCTTTTTTCTGGTATTTATTTATGAGTGCAAAACTTACCTGGAATTTTTTTTTAGCTTTTTATAGCTCTGTCATGCTGTGCCTTATGTCATCAGCCAACCAAATGGTCTCATCCACTGGCCCTTTTCTGTTATAGGCAGGGGTGGGGGTACTACCTGCCCTCGTGTTAATCTTGATACGGAGTCATATTCCTTGTTAGCAGATAGGGTATCATATTCCTTATTAGCAGAGTAAGGACAAGCACTGTCTTAATGGTGGGAAAATAGTCTTACTGTCTTTTTTTTCTTAGAACTTCTTTGTTGAACCTATGGATTATGTAAAGAATAAAGAAAAAAAAGGACTTCTTTTTACTTTTTTTTTTTTTAAGACGAAGTCTTGCTCTGTCACCCAGGCTGGGGTGTGGTGTCGCAATCTCGGCTCACTGAAATATCCACCTCCCAGGTTTAAGTGATTCTTCTGCTGCAGTCTCCCAAGTAGTGGGATTACAGGTACCTGGGCTAACTTTTGTATTTTTAGTAGAGACTAGGTTTTACCATATTGGCCAGGCTGGTCTCGAACTCCTGACGTCAGGTGATTCACCTACCTCAGCCTCCCAAAATGCTGGGATTATAAGCATGAGCCACTGTGCCCTGCCTGTTTTTACATTTTACATTTTAATACCCCTGTGTTGTTCTTCATGCCATCATCACTTTAATGGGATTAATTAGGAAGTATTTTCATAACAAGCTCATAATATATGTAGATTTAATCTTTCCTTTATAAAGATGATAGATCAAATTCTAGAAGAGAATACATCCTAACTGATTAGTAGACCAATGATGCTGATCTTATTCATGAGAAAATACAAAATGGTGGCTTTAGTATGATAGAGTAACCTTGTTATTTTTGTCATTTTTTGAGGAAATTTTCAATTTTTTTAAAAATACTGATAAGAACTTTGTAAAGCAGGTACTGAGTGCATAATACCTATCACAGTATTTGTTGTTATTTGAAAAGTACCCAAGCATAATTTTAGAAAATAGCATGACTACAACTGTGATTTAGAATCATGACATGAGTCTCATCTATCTTTGTAAAATAATTTTCTTTTTATAATGTGTGACATTGGTACAACATTGGTACAAAGAGAAAGAAGTCTTTTTTGACAAAATTCAATTTTAAAGTTGAGTTAAAAGTATTAATAGATTGAGGAGATCTCTATGAGTGGGAAATTCATCCTCTGTTTTTGCTAACTTTTTTGGAGGTAAGCAGGAAATAATTAATGGGCCTCTTTTGGAGTTGGGAAAATTTAAGTCAGCATTCAGCTGATCTAGAGATCAGCTCTAGACTTTCTGAATCTCAGCTATTGGGAATCTTTGAGGTAAATGTAAACTTTCTTTTTTCTTTTATTTTTGAGACAGAGTCTTGCTCTGTTGCCCAGGCTGGAGTGCAGTGTTATGATCTCTGTTCACTGCAACCTTCACCTCCCTGGTACAAGTGATTCTCCTGCCTCAGCCTCCTGAGTAGCTGGGACTACAGGTGCACATCACCACCACACCTGGCTAATTTTTTGTATTTTTAGTAGAGCTGTGGTTTCACTGTGTTAGCCAGGATGATCTTGATCTCCTGCCCTCGTGATCTGCCTACCATAGCCTCCCAAAGTGCTGGGATTACAGGCATGAGACACCTCGCCTGGCATAAATTTTCAATGATACATTTGAACACGTTTTGGCCACCATTGCCTTATGTATATTTTTTTGTTCCAGGTGGAGGCTAAACAGTTACTTCTTCAACCTAAAATGGACCTTCAACCTAAAGTCTGTTATATTTCAGGCACATGCATATACTGGTTAACCAGCTTCCTTCCCCTCAGTCTCCAACATGGTTACCACCCCCTCCCACGCTCAGCTATGACAGAATAAGAATAAGGAAACCCAGGACATTCTGGCCTGCTTAGCGCCACTTCTGACGTAGAATGTTGCAATCCCAGGGTTGTTGAAATAACTTCCCAGCCCATGTCATATGTAAAATCTAAAAACTGTGTAAAAGCTTTGACTTTTGAAGTCCCAACTCTTCCACGAAAATGACAATTTTGGTCAGACAGTGTTTCCTGAAATAAGTAGGAAGAATGGTGGTTAGAGAACAGGATAGGAGGTGCCTGTGACACTCTGCAGTTGGCTTAGGTTTGATACTCTGATGAGAACATGCTTTGGAGGGATTCCCACGATTGAGGACATTTTACTCTGTCTGTTGAGGATCATTTTTTCCATCGCATGGGTGGTGACTGGTAGGCACTTGGATGGATGTCCAGTTTTGCCCTAAGTACTGCATTTTTGAGCTGGTATGGTTGGTGTGTATAATAGGAGCCTCCCTTTGGAGGTGATGTCAGGTGGACTTGACTATACCTCTGTTTTTTAATGAAGAAAGGAGGGCAAGGGAGTAGCGGAGCCAATGATAGAATGTTTTTAAAACATTAAACAAGAAATGTGCCCAGCAGGTTATCTGCTTGCATAGCTGTAAATTTATAATCCATAAAAAATGTAACTTTTTATTGAAATGTAGCATTTATAGAAATATGTGTTAAATAACGTATATAGCTTAATCAGTAATTATAGGCTGGGCGTGGTGGCTCACACCTCTAATCCCAGCACTTTGGGATGCCAAGGTGGGTGGATCACTTGAGGTTGGGAGTTCAAGACCAGCCTGACCAACATGGAGAAACCCCATCTCTACTAAAAATACAAAATTAACTGGGTGTAGTGGTACATGTCTGTAGTCCCAGCTTCTTGGGAGGCTGAGGCAGGAGAATTGCTTGAACCCAGGAGGCAGAGGTTGCAGTGAGCCGAGATTGTGCCTTTGCACTCCAGCTTGGGCAACAAGAGTGAAACTCTGTCTCAAATAAATAAATAAATAAATAAAAATTAAAAAAAAAAAAATAAAGCAAACACCTCAGTTATCCAGGCCAGTAAATCAAATATTGTCAGGACACCAGAACCCTCCTTGTTGTTTACCACTGCCTGATCATATGCCGTCCCTCCCTGCCTCTCCAACCAAGTAACTACTGCCCTAACTTTTGTGATAATTATTTCCTTTCTTAAAAATACGGTTTTACTACCTATGGATGTATCCCTAAAATAATATGATTTATGCCAGGCATGGTGCAGTGGCTCATGCCATAATCCTAGCACTTTTGTAAGGCCGAGGCGAGTGGATCACCTGAGGTCAGGAGTTTGAGACCAGCCTGGCCAGTATGGTGAAACATTATCTCTACTAAAAATACCAAAATTAGCTGGGCCTGGTGGCGCACGTCTGTAGTTCCAGCTACTCGGGAGGCTGGGGCAGGAGAATTGCTTGAACCCGGGTGGCAGAAGTTGCAGTGAGCTGAGACTGCACCATTGCACTCCAGCAAGACTCCATCTCCAAAGAAAAAAAGTGTGTGTGCATACACACACACACACACACTCACACACAAATTTAGTTTAGCTTGTTTCTGAACTTTATGTGAACAAAGTCACTCTATTTATTTTGCCTCACGTTCGCTCAGCATTGTGTTTGTGAAGTACATCCATGTTATCTCTTGAGACTGAGTTGTTCATTTTTATTGCTGTATAGTATCCCGTCATATAGAAGTACCACAATTTATCTATCTAGACAATCCATTTTTATCCTTAACAAGCAAAGATATTCTCGTAGAGGATTTTCACAGTGTATCTTAGCGTCTTGCTGAGATAATTTTCAGAAACCACCCTCCACCCACACTCCAGGAAAGCCTGCATCCTGGAAAGAAGTATAAAACATCTCCACTCCTGATGATTAAAATTAGCTTGATGATTGCCTACCTTCCGTAGTAGCTAGATAGCTAGGCACTTATGGATGTCTTTTTAACATTTTCATCTTAGAAATCAAGGCAAGCTGTAAAATCTTTTTTCTATGTTGTTTTGACTTGGAGAGTCTTGGGTGAAGCGATTTCTCTTATTGTGCATACATTGGGATTTCAAATGTGAGTACTTATCTCTTTATAGAGCTCATTTGCATTCTCAACATTTGTAAAAATGGATGTTTGTTTTAAAATAGTTTTCAGTTATTTAGGACTTCAGTCTAAGAGAGCCTGCTGGTTGGAAGCCCCCAGAGTTTATTATGAACTGTATATAGTCTCTATGTCCTGATATCTTAGGGCTTAATGTAACTGCAGAATCTTCCTTTGTGGCTTTCAGGGAAGAGCTAGTATGGGTCTGAAAAAGCCTGTATATGCTCTTTTTCTGCTTGAGCATTTTTTTCTTATTAATGTTGTCAATGCCTTGGTCTGTGTATATGTTATGATCCAAGTGCTAAAATTTGCCCAAATGTAAAGCATCTGTGATGCATTTTATTTCCTTCATAGAAGTATTGTAGATCTGATGAGAACTCAGATGTAAGCAGTTCAAATAGATTGGTTCTTTTAACTGGATAACCTTTCTTATTTATCTTGAAATATATATCACAGATATTTAACACACACATTCGTACACTCTTGATTTGATCTGTTCCCTGATGGCGCATCTTCATTTTATGATTAAGATAAGAGACTTAAGATAATTGGATTTGCATTCCAATTAGCCCAGAGTTCAGCTTTTTGCATCTTGTTTCAGTTATTCTTTTCTTCTTGGATACATTGGGTGCCTCCTTGCCCTCCTTGGAATACTCATCTGTCCCCACAACCAACTATCCCTTTGAATGCTTTAGAGAGTTGTTGACTTCAGCCTTCATTGTTACACGCTTCATATGGTCTGTACTCTTTTCTGTCTAACCATATGTCCTTAGCCTTCTCCCTCCCATGTCTGAATTCCTCAGATCATTTTCAGGCTGCCTAAAGAATGATTTGTTTTAACGAGTTGGACTTTGAATTTTCTTTCATGTCATTACATACCTCCCTGCCAAGTTAATCAGGGCACTTTTCCGTATCCTAAATTCTTACTCTGATAAGTCTGTGTTCTCACATCACAGATGTCGTCCAGACACTGGCCATGAAAAGCAAGTTCAACACTCCATGTGGGGAAGGCCACACCTGTATTAATGAGCATGCTATACATCAGCTCAGAAAAAGAGCCAAAGAAAGGTTGACATTTCAGCCATAAATAGAAATTTCCAAGTCTACTAGATTTATCACAGAGCATTCATTAACCCTAAATTCCTAATTTTAGAAGCCTTATGTTAAGTTAGGAGTTCGTCATTCTAACTCTTGTACTCCACACCTCAGTTTCCCATCTGTAAAATGAGAATATTGGATTAGAAGATCTCAGGATCACTCTAGTCACTTAGCTATGAAGTTTATTGTTATAACCTTGATCTTGTTCTGAGTTGCCACGTTAGGAGCAGAAATGCCTCCTTAAAATGAAAAGATGGGAGAAAACAAAACGAAAACAATTTCCTTTGTCCAGATCATTGTCTTAATTAAAAAAGTTAATTAGAGGGATGCGTACGGTGACTCATGCCTGTAATCCTTGCACTTTGGGAGGCTGAGGCAGGCAGATCTCTTGAGCCCTGGAGTTCAAGACCAGCCTGGGCAACAAAGTAAGCCCTTATCTCTACAAATAATTTTAAAAATAGCTGGCATGGTGGTGCATGCCTGTGGTCCCAGCTACTGCAGAGGCTAAGGTGGGAGGATTGCTTGAGCCCAGGTGATGGAGGCTGCAGTGAGCCCTGATAGGGCCACTGTACTCCCGCCTGGGTGACAGAGTGAGACCCCCATCTCAAAAAAGACATACATAAATAAAATAAAAAGTAAATTGGAATCCTGTTTTTGAAGCTAAAATGAAGCAAGTTGTCTACCTATATCTAAAATGTAATTCAGTGTGATGGCATCTCCTTTGATGTCTTTGGAGGTAAACTATATTAGGCATCACCTGTTTTGGAAATCTATTTTTAGCCTGGCATGGTGGCTCTCCCCTGTAATCCCAGCACTTTGGGGGGCCGAGGCAGGCGAATCACTTGAGGTTGGGAGTTCAAGACCAGCCTGACCAACATGGAGAAACCCCATCTTTACTAAAATACAAAATTAGCTGGGTGTGGTGGTGGGCACCTGTAATCCCAGCTACTGGGGAAGCTGAGGCAGGAGAATTGCTTGAACCTGGGAGGCGCAGGTTGTGATAAGGCGAGATCATTCCATTGCACTCCAGTGTGGGCAACAAGAGTGAAACTCCATCTCCAAAAAATACATACATAAATTATATATATATATATATAAAAATAATAGTGTCTACTATTTATATATATATAATAGTATATATTATATATATAAATTTATATATTTATATTTTTATAAATTATACATATTTATATATAAATATAAATATATAATTATATATATTTATATATAACTATATATAAAAATTACATATATAATTTATAAATATATATAATTATATATATAACAGTGTATACTATTATATATATAAATTTATATATAATTATATATATAGTGTAACTCCACATATATAATTGACATCTCAAAAAATACATAAATATATAAATATATTTTATAATATATATAATTTATATATTATATATAAATAATATAATTTATATATTATATATAAAATAGAATATTTATATATATTATATAAAATATTATATATATAAATATATTTATATATGTATTTTTTTGAGATAGAGCTGAATAGTGTAACTCCACATATATATTTGGCATACCCAGGAAGACATCACTATATTCATTTATGGTGCTTTATCATATCATATAAATACGTGATACTTAGAATAGTAGCATTCATGTTCCTGTGTTCAGAAAATGCTAATAAATGATTAGATTCCTTGAGTGTTTATGAACTTTTTTTTTTTTTTTTTTTTTGAGACAAATTCTTACTCTGTCACCCAGGCTGGAGGGCAGTGGCGCAATCTTGGCTCACTGCAGCCTCCACCTCCCAGATTCAAAGGAGTCTCCTGCTTCAGCCTCCTGAGTAGCTGGGATTACAGGGCGCGCTACCATACCCGGCTAATTTTTGTATTTTAGTAGAGACAGGGTTTCACCACATTGGCCAGGCTGGTCTTGAGCTCCTGGCCTCAAGCCATCCGCCCACCTTGGCTTCCCAAAGTGCTTGGGATTATAGGTGTGAGCCGCTGTGCCCATCCTGTTTATGAACTTTTTAATGAATTGTATCGTATTTATTTTTATAACATACTGTTTTGAGAATTTTAGTTTATCTGCTCATGCAAACAGTTATACTATTTTCATAGGGCTTTTACCATTTTTATCTTATCGTTTTATTCATTTTCAAATGATTTTTGCTATATTATTTCATTTATAAATAGAATGACTAGGGACGGTGCTGTGTTGCTAATTATGACTAATTTGAAGTTCCTCCCAGCTCACTTTGTTCTGCTTTCAATCTCTTACCTGCTGCCAGCATAATCGAAATATGTGAATTCCATCACTATTCATGAAGCTATTCTTTTGGTTATACAGTCATCTTGTGAGGGAGTTTTTCCAGAATGGACACAGATACATGTACTCCTAACCTTTGTGTAAAACAG